TTAGAAGGGCTTAGGGCTTAGGGTTTAGGGTTTCGGACTTTTAGGGTTTAGGGTTTAGGGTTTAGCGGCCAGTTTTGGGAACGAGGGAGTAGGAGGCTTTGTCAGGGGGTTCAGGGTCCACTTCCTGCCTCCTACATTTCAAAGTCGATTTTCGGATTTAGGGTTAGGGTAATGTGGCCAGCCTTCGTTAGGGCTTTGCTCTTGGGCTGTGATCTACAAACGCGGCCAGCCTTGCCCAGGGTTCCCGGAGAACAAGGGTTTACGGCGCAACACTTGGCGTTCCCGCTGTTCCGAAGGGAATTGAGGGAGTTCAGGTTTCGCTTTGAAGCTTGAAATTTGCTTTGAATAGGGGCTTTGTACTATCCGGGTTATAATTTCTTTAGACCCTCAAGGCTTCTATCAGGGTTTGTGCTTTCGGCATTTGGGGGCTTAGGGTTTTATTACTTTGCTTCGTAGCAGCAGGCAGGACAAACAACCACACTGTTCGATTCCGAAAAGGCGCCACAATCCGATAAAGTAAAGCATGCATATACACATCACTTACAGGACCGACTTCACGCACAGTTGCCAGGCAGTCATGCACGAAAAAAATCACAAGACCACTCAGACTTGAGACCATGCGACTCGGAGGTGATGAACACACGGACGCCATCACATGCAGCATGGTTGTATCATGCTTTAGGGGTTCGGGTATTTAGGATTGTAAGGCCTGGGGTTTGTGGGTGTCAATTGAGGTTGAGGATCTCTCTCCTCAGGGTGCAATCAAGGGTTCGGCTTGATTGAGAATGCCTTTCATGCTTTCATTGAGGCTACAATGGGCTCTTTACTGCATCATACAAGCTTTGCTCAAGCATTGTACATCCTAAACCCTAAGTTCAAGCCCATGAGCCAAGTCCGTTGGTTGCTGCAAGTGCCAAACTTCAACAGACCTCCGTTGACTATATGCCGTCCCTGGCCCAAGCCTGATAGCATGATGTTCGGCTTGAGTCTCTTTGACTCATGTGATTGAAGATTCAACAGCACGCCAACGCGAGGTGCTATGTTTTGAGCCTTGAGATTGGCTACAAGGTTCATGCTTGGCTAGAGCTGCTAGCATTTCGGCGTCGCGACAAATAACCCTAAACCCTGAAAGTTTGAAGCCCAAATCTTTAACGCTTTCAAACACTCTTGAAAGTGGAGCCAAGCTTCATCATTGCCCGCGAATCATTCGGCTGTGGCTGGACGGATGCCAGAGGGTCCATGGGTCCATGCTGGAAACACTTGAGCCACAAGTCACGGATGGTTTGCCGTGATTGATGTAGGCGCGATGGTTAGGGGTTCACGAACGATTGTCAGTTAATTACATTGTTGCATACAGGCTTAGAGACCGGTAGCCGGTAGCCATTCACGGCAGCACCAGCACGTCTTCTCTGAAAAAGATGACTCGTACAGACTGTCCAGATAACGGCACCGGCATTCGAACAGGCTTCGTGGCCACAGATGAAAGCGTAGGTTTGTCTAGGGCTATATAAGGTGATATCTACTCCAATCTTGTGGAATCATCCCCGAATCTTCAACTCTACGTCCTCAACCCGCTTGAACCAAAGGGGCAGATAAGGAGTCAACTGGTGTGACCGGAAGCCCAACCCCTATAAACCATAATCGTACGAACGCCGTTAAACGCCCTACAAACCCCTAAACGAAGCCCACACAGCAGGGCGTGTAAGCCCTCAACCCTAAAGCACTAGACCCCTGACCCCAAGAAAGTACCCATAGGCTCCCTTATAGTTCCTTTTTGTGGCTTATACTTAGGATCCTATCATCCCCAACAAGGAACTACTTTGGAGCCTCTGGGTCGTAGAAGAGCCCCCGAAACACTGCGTCCTCTTCCTCGATGAGCCCCCGACCTGCAACGGAGTCTTCAAGTGTAGGGTTTACGGTTTAATCTCTTTAGGGTTTTTTGGTTTCAAGGTTTTAAGGTTTAGGGCTTGAACTTTTTAAAGGGTTTAGGGTTTTAAGGTTTAGGGTTTAGGGTTTTAAGGTGTAGGGTTTAGGGCTCTAGGGCTCGAGGATTCTAGGGCACTCGGGCTTTTTGCCAGGGCTCCAAGCCTCTTTTTGGAGCTCAACACTTCTAGGCGTCTACTTGGAGGCCCAGGGGACTTAGTAAGTGGGTTATAAGTAGAGTTATAAGTAGCCTAAAAGGAGTAACCCTAAATATAACCCTTCCTTTTACCGACTTACTACGTCCCCTGGGCCTCCAAGTAAGGCTCCAGAGGTCTTCAGAGTCGAAGTGAAGATTCTAGGGCGATTCTAGGGCTCTGGGGTTCTTCGGCTTCGAGGACTTTCTTCGGCATCTGGGTGCTCTGGGGTTTTTACGGTTCAGGAGTTGAAGATTCCACCCGGAACCCCGCTGTGAAGGTTGCTCTATGCCCCGCTGAAACACTCACAAAACAAACCCAGACTCTACAACTCTAAGCATGGGGGGAAGCTCGATGAGATCCCATACCCATAGGCTATATATTGTAGCTCGTTGTTGTGGTTTCTAATATAGAATCCAAAAACGTACGGAACCCCCAAAAGGAACTACAATGGAGCCTATGGGTATACCCCAAACTCTACGGAACAAAAAAGGAAGGGTTCACGGGTTCTCCAGGGTGTAGCGTTGAGGGCTTAGGAGATGGAGCAGCCTTCGCACACAGAAGCAACGCCGCAAACAACAAATCTTAAACTTCACTTCACTGAACCGAAACAGCCCCCCCCTCCAAGACCCCCGACAGTAAAACCCAAAACTAACTACGGCTATCTGGTTTTAGGGCTCAGGGTGCCGGGTTTTTTTCCCTCCCACTTAGCAAGGACGAGCCCGCATTGCAGGGTAAAGCTCAGAACAGAGGGCAATGTGCAGGTTCCAGACATGCCAGTTTGACAATTACTGTCCCCACAAATTAGACCACGCGAATCCCATGTTAGGTAACGTAGCCAAGCAAAGCAGATCCTAACGATCTGCACCTCCTGAGTGCATCACATAGAGGCACTCCATCAAAGCACAGCAACTGAAAGGGCAAGTAGTCAGCGAGCAAAGAGCTCAACCGCACCATGCATTATGCAGGAGCACGGCAGGTTCTTGCATGGGCTACGAGCAGAAACTGAAGAAGCCCTCAGAAGAGCAGGACTCACGCTTGTCAGCTCGCAACCACCAAGCCAAAACTCGCTCAGAAAGCCTCAAAAGCAGTTCAGGATTCACTCAGATCGATCATGGCACAGATCAATCACCATTCCAGGAACTCACTCCTCTCTCATGGCAAAACAGAAACATCCATCTGGTACCAGTGTGTTTTGCTGTCGACCAGCGCGCAGCTCCAGTGTATGGGAAACTGACTGGCCCTCATCAGCATGTGTAAGACCTGCACTCCACAAAACTGAGGGTGCCGGGTTAGGTTTCAGGGTTTAGGGTTTGCTGACCGGCCAATGGACCGGAGCATGCTGTTGGGTTGCTTCTTCGTGGCACCTTGCGGCTTATCTCGCTTTGTTGAAGCAGGGCTCTGCAGCTTTGCCTGCCCCTCCAACCCTGAGCTCACCAAACCCAAGCACTTAATCCTGTCCGGGTGGTCCATGTACCTATGTAGTGGACACACTTTGGCCTTCCAACGGGTTCCTACATTGGGTATGTTACTGCCAAAGTATACAATGCAGGTAATTACATGTTAAGTTCCCCAAAACACCCACAAAGTCCTTTACCTCAACACTGAGGCGCCCGGCCATGTAGAAGAACAGCGTCCAAGGAGCTGCAGAGAAGCCGATGAGGGGCACGTCGCCAAAGCCTTCCTCGTCCCTGAGTTGGTCGCATTGCTAGGTGTGAGAAAAAGGGCCTTAATGAGAGAAAGTAGGATTTTGATGGATTTGGGGGATATAAGATACTATACTTAAAGTAAGAACCCTCAGGCAAAGTGGTATTAATTATTCGTCAAGCTTCTATACTAGGGTCAAGAGTTTAAGGGCCGAGTGTCTGCGGGGCGGTTGGTTTTCAGTCTGGGACTGAAGAAAAGAAATTGATTTCAGGGCCGTGCTTTTAAAGCACCTTTTACCTCCCGGGCCATGGGTTTAATTAGGGTTTGGGGTTTATCGGTTTAGGGTTTCTTCGAAGAGGGCTCTCCGCAGATGACTGGAGTGCTTGGCACCGGAATCGCAGGTCGGAAGTTCCTACACGGAAATGAGGCAAAGGGTTTAGGGTATATAGTTTAATTAGGGTTTATCGCTGCAGCTCGCCATCTTATGAACAAGTTAGGTGGTGAGTTTCATTTTTGGGGAAAGGTTTGGGGTTCGTGGCTTAGGGACGCAACATCTCCTGCAGCCATACGCCCAGCCCTCTGAAAGCACTGAATCCTCAACTCCGGCGATATCGGGTCAGTCTTTCGGTTCTGTGCTGAGGGCGCAGCATGGTGGAGACGATGCGGCGGACAGATTCGAGCACATGGGCCTTGCGAATGGCAGTATAGAGACTGAAACGACTGACGTCTGCGGGAGAATCTCTGACTCCGAAGCCCCATATTTCCCGGACGCGGACCTAAAACCCGAAGTACCTTAGAATCCTAGACCCCGTGCGTAATCAGGTAACTCAAAAGAATACCAGTGCTCATGATTCGGGCCATTGGAGTACTTCGACTTCTTAGCACCCACTTGGCAATCCCAGAACAATAATTTAGGGGACCCCATTACAGACCGTACATACTAGGATTCTCCAGATAGCAGGGTGTACCTTTGGGGGCCATGGGCAGGACGGGCAAGACGAGGCCTGGATACATGGGCCATTGCATGTGCTTGTGATGCCCCAGGTTGCTAGACCCTGAAACCCCAAACCCCGACCCCCAAACCCTTCAAAGCCCCACATCTCTTGCAAAGGCTTGTAGGGAATGATTTGGGCATCAGCCCAAACACTGCGAGGCCTTCATAATTAGATTTGAGGGTATTGGGGTTCATTCTAGTCAGCGACTACTCATGGATACTTATTTCCAGCCACTAGCCCAAAACCCTAAAATCTGAACCCTACAACCCTAAACCCTTAAACCCTTAAACCCTAAACCGTATGCCAGCTGGACAGGGCTAGCGCATGCTTCACCCTATGCCACCAAGCTGACCTCCGCAAAGGAACACAACTTCTCAAGTACCCAAGTGCTATGAGCCTTAGGTTTGAAGTTAAAAGGAGCCCTAGAGCCTAAATCCTAAACCCCAAATTCAAAACTAAAACCATGAAACCCTTTTTCTTTGCGGATACAGCGACCCTAAACCTTGCAGCCGAAACCCAAAACAAAAAGCAAACTAAACTCTAAATCCCGAAGCCTAAGCCCAAAACTAAAACAACCTGAACCCTAAAACCCGAAGCCTAAATCCACAACTACAAAACCTAAACTCTAGATCCCGACGGCCCACACCCCCACAAAACACACTAAACCCTAAACGCCAAACCTCAACCCCTAAAGCCTAAACCCTAAACCGTGGGTTTTCGGAGCTTCGAGGTTCCCACCAGGCGATCTTCGACGAACTCGGAGGTTGCTGGATTGGGTGCCAGTCGTGATAAGTCCTGTGCAGGTTTAGGCTTAAGGGGCTTCAGGGCTTAGGGCTTTTCTTCGTGTTGTTCGGGCTTGGGCCTGCTTAGTGTTTTCGGGTTTAGGTTTTTTTTGTGTTTGTTGTTTATCGGTTTTTTCTGGTTTTAGAGCTTTGGGCCTGCAGGGTTTTGGGGTTTTAGGCTCAGTAATGCCTACCACAACCGGCCCTAAACCTTACATCCTCATGTATGCAGCCGGGGCAAGGGCTGACCACTCCAACTGTACACTTACACTGATCGACAAAGGCAGAATTTGCTGTAAGCTAAGTTTCCGGCAAATTCTGTTAGAGCACAGCTGAGGGTTTAGGGGATAGTTTATGGTAGGGTTTAGGGCTTCGGGTAGGGGTTGGGGTTCAGGGACCCACATTACATTTGGTGGCTTAATGCAACCTCACAAAAAGTAACGCTCAAGCAAGAGCCGAGACCCTTTAAACAGGCAATAAGCAACAAGGAAACCCACACCCCGAAACCTAAATCCAAAATCTGCACATCGAACGCCGGAAATCCTAAAATCCTAAGCCTTACAGCCCTAAGCCAAAAAGTCCTCGGTGTCTCGCTGTGACCTACGCAATATCCTCCTCAACCCAACGTACTAAACTCTACTTACCCTACCTAAACTTCGTGAGCGCCGGGCTCCAACATACAACATTTTCTTGAATCAACAATCCCATGCAGCGTTATTACCAAAAAACAAATACACTTCCGAAGAGCACGTAAGGTGGAGACACGGCTGAAGGTTCTAAGATCTCGACTTCATGGTGCTCGGGTAGTAAAACAATAACGAAACAAGCCTGAAGCCCAAACACCCCAGAACCCCAAAGCCTTAGCCTCAAAGAAGCCTTGAAGCATCCTAGCGAGGCCCTATGCCCAAAAGAATCTTTGAGGATGCCTAAGCAGTAAGTACGCCTCCGAAGCTCCGAAGGCTCTGCCCAAATTCTCGCGGCCTCGGGTGACTCCAAGGGCCGAGGAACGAGGATGCCTGAGGATCGGTTTAGGGTTTCGACTCTCACACTCGCACAATCATATATATATATATACATACATACATACATGTGGCGGCCAGGCAGAGTCTCATTGAGCTAGGTTCGAAGTAGAGTAGAGACATAGGTCCGAGGCAGAGCAGAGACAAGTTAGGGCTATCGGATGTAGGGAACAATGTCTTCCCATTCATCTTCTCCCATGAAGGCCGCCCGCGGCATGGCGGCATGTGGGGCTCTTTCCGAAAAAGAGCTGACCAACTTAGCTAAAGCAAGAAGACCTCTTGCCAACTGCTTGGCAGAACAAGAAAGGATCCCTAAGTTGAACTACAACAGGGCGAAGGCTGAAATTGAGGTAGAAACTAAGCCCTGAACCCCAAGCTAGATCCAAAACCGTACAGCCATCCCGACACCCCGAACCCCCAACGGAATACGAACCATTTTCTGGTGAAGGCTGGCCTTTGCCTCCAGGCATTTCCTTTGCAGGTCAGGCAGTTTCGCGAAGCACTTGCAAGTTAGAGTAGAGTTTAGGGCTTTTAGTGGTTTTAGCTTGGGGTGGGGTTTGGGGTTTCGGGAGCGAAAAGAAATTTGGGGTAGGGGTTTAGGGTCTTGTTGCTCGCGAGACCAGGGTCTAGAGAGTATACTAGTAGTGCTAGGATACATACACAGGACCATGAACACTTCGAAGAGGGAATTTGCGGTTGTCGGGACTAGAGCATCGCGGAGACCTCTCAGAGCCAGAGCCTCATGGACGCCACTTTGGGAACTTTCCAACTGCACTTTGCAGAGCCCGAAAATCCCTAAGAAAACCAAGAAACCAAGAAACCGTGAAGCCCTTAAAAAAAAAAGGCCCGAAAGACGAAGCCAAACGCCAGGTCTCCACGTCGATGCCAAGGGCTTGTGCCACGACCAAGATGTCCGAGAACCTGATGTCAAGGTGGAATTCAACCAACAAGCTCCTACCATGCTTTAAGGGGTTGCTTCAAATGGCTGGCTTAGGGTTTAAGAGTCTAGTGGTCGAGGACGTAAGCTGACCCCCTCAAGACCTACCTCTTTAGGGTCATCGCTAGGGAATCACTATGATTTGCCTCAGGGTGTACTAGGCTGCTCTTTATCGCCCCTTCGATGCTTTGATGTATTGATTCCTTCTTAGTCAAGGCTATATTAGCTCGTACTTCGTCGTTGGTAAGATAAGACTGGGCGAACATTGGAAACTTATGTTCAAGACTGACAGCCAAGCCTAGGATCCAAGGCAAGGTGTTTGGAAGCCCTATAACCCCACAGCCTAATGCACGACGGTGGCCCTAAACCCTAAAGCTAAACGGAACAAGCTCTAATCCTTTGCACTGGTAGGACCTTCACCGGCAAAAGAATGAATTCACGAACCGCCCAAAGAGATGCATGATAACCATCCTCAGGAGAGCGAAGTAACTGCTAACTGCTCCCAAATGTAACGTCCTTCTCATGAGGATACTCATTTCTATTCAGGGCCAATCCTGTCCCAAGTGATGGGCACAGGAGCATGCAGCAATGTGGAAGCACGGCCTGAATGAGAAGCTTCTTAAACCCCTAAACCCTAAATCCCTAAACCCTAAACCCCCTAAGCCCCTACACCCCTAAACAGGTTCTTACAGGCCGAGCAGCAGGATGGCAGCATCCACGCCGTACCTCCTGAGAGGCTGCATGGTGCACTCCTGAGCCAAAGGGGGAACCTTAAGCACTGAACCCGAAGACCTAGGGTTTAGGTTTAGGGTTTAGGGTTTAGGGTTTCGACTCCCCGTACTAACCCGAACTGCCCAAACCTGCCAGCCCTGCATGCTTTAGCTCGATGCCGCTTCTAGGCTTATAACTCTTGTTTCTTGTGGGTGGTCGTTATCACGGCCACCTGAACGATGATGGTGATGACAGTAAGTAGCAGTATGGCAAATCAAAGCATCAGATCAGCAACATCCTAATTCTCAGTCAAATTCAAGCATGAGGGCACAGTCCAAAGACTTACGGTGGGTGCCGGGGGCACCCAGCCGGTCGCTTCCTAAACACGGCCACGAAAACTACCCTGCAGGGTCCACAGATGAGACCATCTATGGTGCTATAGAAGAGCTAGGCTCCGAAAGACCATTGGGATGATGGTGTGTTTTGGGAATGGCCATGGTCGAAAGGAGCCAAGGCCTTAGAGTACTCTTACGGTACCCCAAACATCAGACCGAAGCGCTTCTAGGATGCTGGGCTTCAGCGCTGTTGGGTCTTAGGGCTTAGGGCTGCGGGTCTCGACTCTCACGCTTGCACTAGGCAATGGTTTAGGGGGCTTGCATCCCAAACCCGGAACAGTCGGGGTATTGAGCTCGAAAGGAAGAATAGAAAACTACTACCGAGGCCTGAATGAATTTGTAATGACCCCTCTTTAACCATAGTCACTAAAGTCCCTTTAAAGGTATGGTATACCCAACTATGAGATGAAAGCCCCGGTGCCCAAACAGAAGACCGTTGTCATACAAGGGCCCCGGCTGCAACGTCAGCGGGATCGTCCAGGAGCTGGAGAAAGTTCTTCCCCCCTGGGATCGAAAATTCCGAGTATTTCGTAGTATAGTTGCATAGACATCAGTATAGCAGCTGAAGCTTGGCGACTGTATTTCTGTAAGTACAGGACATAACAAGAATATAATTCAAGTGTATAAACAGACAAATTTGCATAATATCGGCACCATGTCGGGGTCTTGGGTCTTGACCGATGCATCGAATCTTTCCTGCCAAGATGGCCTCTTCCACTCAACAGCAGACCAGATGCGCTTGAATTCACACGCTGGAATCAACTGGCAGCCCCAGACGGTTGAGTCTTGGAAGCTCCTGCCCTGCACATCATATACATATACATATATATATATATATAGATAGATAGATAGATAGATAGATAGATATATATAGATATATATATACAATGTATATGTACACACATAGATACTGTAAGGTCTAGGCTGTAGTGTGTCGACTTTCGGCACTGCCAGGCAGAAAAAGCTGGCTTTCAGCGAACATAGACTTCTGCATCTGTGGGTTTAAGGTAAAATGGTTAGCTTCTAGGGTCAATCGAAGGTTTAGGGCTTGGGGCTTGTAAAGGTTTAAAGTCCACTAAAAGTGTGTGTTTCATGAGGGTCTAAGGCTACTTCGCACACAGTGATCAATAGCTTGATTCTCGTACTCGCATGAAAAGACTACTACCGACCTCAACATTGAGGCTAATATGTCTCGCAATGGCAAGCCACGTTTATTGTGTACGAATCCTTCACGGCCATATTATTCGAATCCCCTTACGCCCTAAACCCTCATACAGCGAACTCTAAACCCTTATAGGTCGTAAGAAATCTTGCCTCGAAGCTACAACCCCTTCAACTTGCATAGTGTGGCTTAAGAGCCCAAAGGGTCCAAGGGCACTCCTATACCGCTGGGAGTTGCGGCTTAGAGTGAAAAGCTTCAGAGCGTAGGGCTGGGACCCAAAAAGGGCAGTAGCCTGCAGGAGACCCAGGCCACAAGCCTTAGCAGTTAGACCTGGCTACCACTATCATCCAGTAGCATCTGGAATGGTTGCAATTGTCAGAAGGAGCCCTAAGTAACAGTTAGGACATGCCAGAATGTCACTAAGGATCCCTGTTCAACAGCATGGTATTGAGGCTTCATTATTGAAACCCCCGAGGACCAAAAGCCCGGAAAGTTGCATCCAAGAGACGCTTGACTTTATACTCGTTGTATTCCTCGGCGCCACATCTAACCATTGGAGTTTGGTGCCGAGGGTTTCTTGGCAAGTTGGGCACACTTGGTGCTGTAGAGTTTAGGCTCTGAAGCTTGGGTTTGTTGCTTTCAGAACTTAATTTGGGCAAGGCTATTTCGAGCACCAAGCCGAAAAGGCGAACCTTGCTTGCTGAATAGCAGATGCTTGAATCCGAAAGTAGAGCCCTTGGTGGAGCCGTAGCAAACGCTCGAGCACATCAGCATCCCCAATTGCAATCCCCAAATGCCGACACTGAAGCTAAACACCTACCCTAAGCTACAGTAGCATCACCTACTTGTTTCTACGCTTTCCTTCTAAAGCCCGTACCATCGAATGTATAGGAACCCGAATGACAAAACTGCTCTTTGTAGTTCAAGGTACAGACACCTCGAACCCAATAGTGAAGCTTCAACAATTGCCAACATTATTCCTGAGGTATTCTAATATTTATGGGGTGGATCACCGTCGTTTGCCCCAGTTTGTCTTCGACAAACGTGCGACAAGCAAGGCAGGGCCCAGACTTCCACATGTTAACATTGTTGAACGTGGGGTCCCCATTATGATGATATGCGGAGCAAAAACATGCAAAACAACAAACGATGTTTCTGCGCGGACAGGGAGGTGCAACGGCAGGACGGGATGGAGTCTTAAGGCCAGGTTCTGCACAATGTGTTCTTTCATGCCGGCTTCGAACCAATGTTGGAAAAAGCATGGCAGGGCCGATACTTTCGCACGTCAGCACTGTTCAACATGGCGTTACCGTTATGATAACGGATGCAGTGGTTGGCAGCATGGACGTGATCATTGTACTTGGGACCCCACTATTGAGAGACTTTACGAATCAGGGGTCTGCATTCATCCAAGATCCTAGACGGGGAGACTCTGAACCCCGAACGATTCCAAGTCTCTACCCAGAGGCTCCATAGTAGTTCCTTTTTGTGGTTTATATTTAGGATCCTACAAGGTAATCCCAAAAGGGACTACTATGGAGCCTATGATAATGGGTAGGTCATCCGAAACCGGCCAAGTGTCCGGAAGATGTCTGCCTGCTTGTCGGAATAGCCACACTGGCACCTGATGTGGGCTTTTTCTGCTTGTTGCCGTTATCATGCCAAAGCCTCAAGTCTGCACTCACCAACAATACCAGCGGCCGTGTACACAGTCGCCAAATCCCTCACCTCGCCTTGCCTTAGCAACTGAGCTAGTTCGTTTGTCTTCAAGGCTGAGGCAAAAAGGCAGTTGCCTTTTTTTTTTGGGGGGGGGGGCCCTATTCGCGCTCTTCCTGCGGGTACTACAGCCACACCAAGGTCTTGCGCTCAACGCTTCAGATTTGCCCGAAGCTCCAACCCGAGGCTCCCAAACTGCCAACGCTGAACCACAAAACCCTAAGCCCTAAATTTCCTAAACCCTCCCAGCCCAAAAGTCCAAACCCCAAAACCCCAGAAATTTGATACTCATCCTGTAATACTGTGCTGCAAGTGGAATCCCGCGACGCCTGCGGCTCCCGGACGGGCTTCAACCCCCTAGCCACCTGCAATCACTAACGATGGCAAAGGAGGGTTCTTTTTCTGAGGCTTGCGTATTCGGCGAACAGGGCGTGTAGTTCTCTAAATAAGCATTTAGGAACGCCCCCCAAAAAAGGCGGCACGCTTGAAAGCAGGACCCTAATTTAGAGAACTGCCCACATCCGAAGGCGGTTGGAGGGTCGGAGTCCGAGGTGGTAGAGCTTCCGGGATTGACAGCTTACGCTCCGGAGTGAGCGCTTCGGGTTCTCTTGACTTTAGGGGTCCGGAGCTCTACTTTATGCTTTAGGACTTTAGGCTTCACAGAGCTCTGTCGCTCCCATAGGCTTCATCAAAGCCAGTGACCCGAAACCTTGTCACCTGACATGCGTTTGAGGCATCCGAAGCGTCTCGATTGAATTCATGAAAACCTAAACCCCGTGACTCATCCTAGCCTGGCAAAGCGATGCAGTGTCTGCTTCGGCCCACGCGGTGACCTTCGAGTGCCGCAGCCTTGCAAGAGTCAGGGGTATGCTGAAACAATTAAAAAAACCCCCTAAGCCCATAGCTGCTAGCTCTCAGCTAGATGCCGGGCACTTGCCTGTTGCCGTAAGGCGTAAGGGTCCGTCACGAGAACAGCAATAACAGCAGTAACCACAACAAGCTTACAGCACACTCGCGTAACCCTTCTTCGCTTTCCGTACTAGCAAGAAAGAGTCTCCTAATGCAATATGTGACCTTACGGCATTATGGCCCCTCACAACATGCAAACACAGCGGTGACACAACTGACGCGCTGGCAAGACACTGTTCCGATAGCACAAGAGGAATAGCAAAGACTCGATTGTATACCTGCTCGTTCAAAGCTCAAGCGTACGTTTCTGTCTGTATGGTCGTAGCGATAGCAAAATTTGGAGGAAGAGCACGAGAACAGTTGCAAACACGATAGCACGAAGAGTATCCGAGTAATGGCAACTACACTCCCGCAAGCTTTTTCATCAACCGTCAGCACTGATGAATTCTGTCAAGTAAGAACATCTTCGTACCCTGAACCGGCAGGTTCGGGATATGAAAGGACAAGCTTGCTCCATCCGCCGGATTCTTCTCTCACCAACCGGATTTCGGGCCTTGGGCCTCGAGTTCATCCGGGTTCGGCTCGGCCGAGGACCGGATGGATGGGAAAGCCACGGGAAAGGCCGTGCAGCACTGTAGTGGCACCAGGGCCATGTAGAAGGGCATCAATCCAATAAGTGACAATGTGAAGTGGGAGCCTGCATAAAACCCGCAGTTCTTGTAGCACACCGGATGCCCGGCATAGCCGCAATCTGGCTCCATGACGGCGACCATGATGAAGCTCGCGATTGCGAAGGCGTAGGACAAACTGCGGTAGACGGATGCAGGATTTCGGTCATTGCCACGACCATGTGATTTATCGTAGAAGTGCACCACAAGCCAAGCAAAGGCGCACAAAGCGGCCGTAGCTGCAAGGCAGTACATGAAGCCTTGGAAGTGCCTGTCCCCAGGGACTACGACTTCAACGAGGCTAGCCAGGACCACTGCCAGTCCAGCAAGCCAAACTGTTGCCTTCAGACACCTTCGGAGACGGCGTTGGGCTTGACGGCTACAGCTTACAAGGCTACACGTGACTTGCTCAGGCTTTGAGGGACGCAAAACCATGGCACTTTGGGTATGAGAACAAGGCCTCAGGACCTGCATCCTCGCACAGAAAACCACCCCAACAGCACGAATGTGGACTCCAAAAGCCCCCAAAGGGAGCACTGTTGCGTGGCCCGGGCGCCTCACAGAGCAAAGGGCCTCCAGTGCCCCGCAGCTGGTAATGAGCAAGCAGGCCCAAGCAAGGATGATCACGGCCTCGATTTGGGTTTTGTACTCCGAAAGGATAGCAATATCTATCAATCTCAGTAGTAGCTCCAGTAGTAGTGGTGGTAGTAGTAGTAGTAGTAGCAGCAGCAGCAGGAGTAGCAGTACTTGTTGTCGTCGTTGTCGTCCGCCTCCTCCTCATCCTCTTCCTCCTCCCTCGTCCTTGTCCTCCCCGTCGTCCTCGTCGTCTTCGTGTCAACATTGCCATGATTAAGTCAGTTATTTCGGCTGAATGTTTTAGACCTAGGCCCAAACCCTCCGAGTTAGGTTTCAGGGAGATCATGGCCTTGCTCGTCTGGATAGCCCAGTTCGCATCACCCGTGTACACCTGCGTGGATACGGCTGCACCGAAATAACCCACAGTAGCAGGACGAAGAAAGCGACGTGGAGCCTATCAGGGAGCTTCAGAAGGCTTGGCGAATGGCCGACAGTCATGAAACCGATCAATCCCGGAGCCTGTCACTTGTCACAGCCACTGGCTTGTCCCTCCGGCTGCAGTGGCAGCACAGCATAAGCAGGCCGAAAGAAAGGGAAGCCACAGCACAGACGTAGAAGGTCGACAGGGTGCCAGTATGAGCTGCTGGTGTCTGTGCGGGGTCAGGAATCGGATCATCCAGAAAGATATAGCCATTGTAGTCACAGGCCATGGCAGCGAGGGCCACTTCGACACTTGAACCGATCTAAACGTACTACACACTCGTAGGCAAACACTAATCTGCAAAAGATGCGCTGAGCGCAAGCATCCAGCGTGCTCTAAGTGAAGCTCTGTTGAATCTTCACCATGGGACCATATGGGTGTATGGCTTAAAAATCGGAACACCAGAATTTTTTAACAGCCCCCCGCAGGCTCTTGGAATGAAAGCTGGCTCTTGTTGCGAAGGACTTCTTGCTTGGCACCTTGTGGGCATGTTGTGGGATGCATAAAGCGGCTGCAGAAGGGTTTGAGATTTGCGACACTGCAGCTTGGTTTGGGATATGCGGCAGTGCCCAGATGCAGAGTGAACTCCCTGAAGCTTGACCTGCCCACCACCGCTGGTCAAGCGTCAAGCAATAGTCTGCCCTGAAACGCTAAGACTCCTAAACATGCCCTGAACTCATCTAAAGCCCCAAACTCTGACTCTTTCAGAACCCGACATTCGACTAAGGTCAGGTCAGCCTGGTCTTAGGACGCAGAGGTTCCTGCTTCAGGGTACTTAGGCCTGTAGGGGTGAGGGTTCGGGGTCTAGCTTGAAAGCTCCTGTTGTGTGCCGGCTCTACGGGCTTCGGGCAAGATCCGGACATGTGCAGAGGAGTGCTCAGGTGTGTGAGTTAAAGGACACTACAGGTGGGGAGTTTAGGGTCTTTAGGGCTTCTATAAGGCTTCTATAAGTATATAGACCTTCTATAAGGCTCCTATAACGGTAACTACCCACCTGAAAATATCCTAGAATGAGGCTTGCTCTAGATAAACGACCGATAAGCCCCTGTTGCACCTTCTCGGATCAGTGCGAGCGCGGGGGCGCGCAACCTGCAAACCGCTCTGACTCTGAGTCATATGAGGGCTTCTCTAACAATGCGTTTGAAGAGACCGTTCGAACGTATGCCCTTATGAGGAGACGGTCATCAATAGCTGTTGTGGGGGCACTGCGTCCAAGAGCTACCCTTCACAGGAGGGTTTAACCTCAAGCCTGGAAACTTTTGAGTCTAACAGTTCTTTTCGCAGCTGTCTCCTAAACCCTAAACCCTAACAGGCTTTGGGGCCTGTGAAACTGGCAAAGACTCGAAGAACAAGACGGATCATCGGCTTGTAGGACAGGAGCTCTCGTTGGATCCATGGAAACAAACATGCCTCCGGCATATAATAAGTGGCATAGCGGTGGGTCCTGCAGATGTAGACTCCATGTTCTTTCAACTCTAAACCCTCAACCACGAGCCGCGACAAGCCATATCCGTCGCAGACCCATCTGTAGACTCAAACAACCCCACACACTCACCTCGAAGGGTTACGGTTCGAGGTCCTATCTGTCCTATCTCCTCTCAGAAATGTGATTGCCACCCAAAGCTCTTTGAGAAGCCCAAAAAATGCCTGAGTCGCTAAAAACGGCACACTTGAAACCAGACAATTGCAAGTCTCAGTCCCAAAAAACCCTAAAAAAACCCTTTCCGGGTCTCCAAACTGACGAGAGAAAGCCAGCACCTTGGCTTTCAGTCAGAAGTCTTCGAGTTCGGGTGTGCAGTTGTCGGTCCCTGTCTGGTTTGGATTCAGCTATGATTCTTTTATGGAGGATAAGGTCACCGAGAGATTCTACAGACAGAAAATAGGGTAACCGAGAAAAGTGGCTAGAATCAAGCGTCTGGGTAGACGGCATGACTGCTGCAGGCTTTGTAGCGGCCCTGTTGGGGTCTGGTAGAGTTTAGGGTCATTCAACATCGGTGGGTGTTCTCTGCAGTATTCTCCAGTCCCTGCTCGGCTCCTTGATTCACAAGTCGCGTGCTCTTCGGCAGAAAGCAACTCAGCGCTGAAATTCTAGGGTCCAAAGGAAAAAGTGTAGCATTTATTTAGGGTTTAGGGCTCAAAGCGCAGGATTTTGGACTTCAGATTTAGGACCTAAGTTTAGGATTTAGAGTGACGAGTGCAATGGCTGATGATTGATCCGTCTTCCTCATGCCAAGGAAGAAGGAAAAGCTTACGACCAAAGGTTGGCGAGGAGTCAGGAGTTGCTATCACCCAGCTCGAAGGCATACTGCTATACAAAGCACCATAGTATAGTACCAGTAAGCCCGGATACCTGCACGCAAACCAACCCTGAACGCCAAACCCTAGACCCTGAACCGCCTGAACCCAAATCAAACTTGATTTAAAACCTATAAGCCCCAACTTCCATCCCTAAACTTCAAGCCCCAAACCCTTAAACCTAAACCCCAAACCCTTCTGCCGCACAGTGTCTGACGAAGCTACGGGATCTGCATGTTTCAGGTGGCAGGCCTGTGGGCGTCCCCCCCCCCCAGTTAACGGGTTTAGGGCATTAGGGCTGTCTTTGGGGTTTAGGGTTTGGGATTCAGACTTCGGGCTTGGACTCTTGCACTTTGCGACTCTGCAAGCGAGGATGTTTCGCGTCGGAACATCCCAGGCATGGACACTCAGGCATGGACGCGATACGTAGCGACAGAGAGATTCACGTCGGGGAGCGGCGAGGTTGGCGTTGAGCTTCGCTTCAATCGGCGCCCTCGCGTCACCAGTTCTCCTCGCAGCACTTCAGCAGCCGTTCTACAGGTCCCATGGATCCGCCGTCCGTGGCTGCCACTGCGACGACAAGGGCTGCGTCGCCCCACGGCGCGTTCAACCGCTCGCAGTCGGCGCCCCTTCCTCTTCCAACGTCTCGAAACCACAGGCCTCCGAACCCTAAAACCCTAACCCTAAACCCTAAAACCCTAAAAAAGCCCTAAAACAACACTAAAGGCCCTAAAACCTTAAAAAAAACCCTAAAACCCTAAAGGCCCTAGAGTACCAGGAAGTCCTAAAGTCGCGAAGTAACTCGAGGACCAGAACGGCCAGGGATGTAGGTTTTTAGGGTTTAGGGTTCAGGTCTGAACTGAAACCCCTAAACCCCCAACCTGCCAAACCCTAAACCCCTCAAGCCCTAAACCCTCAAACCCCCCAAAAACTGAACTAGGACCCACAGCATGATGCAACTCTGTTCCTGCAGAGGGACAAGAGCTGGCAGCTGCACACAGCAGAGCTGCGATCAATCCAGCGATGAACCTAGTAAAGGGAGCTTCATGATTAGAAGGAGGCTCCTGTAACACTGTTGTTCAGGGCTCCATAAGGTTACACGTTACTTGTTAAGGGCTAACTACAAGAGTTGTCTGATATGGGGGCCTGAAGGATCAGAGTAGGGTTTTGCAAAAATTATATATGTTGTCGTATGTAAGGGAGTGTTGGAGATTATTCGAGCCTACCGCCAGCCTTGCACAAAAGGCTCTGTAGAATTCTTCTGGGGATCTGGGGGTGTGCAGGGGTCTTTGGCCCACACTCCCTTCAACAGGTGGAGCAGTAGCCAGTAGCCTTGGTAGGAAGCGTCGTTGCGTCAGCGGTACGCGTGGTAGTGATGGCAGGTTTGGCCATATGGGTAGCAGTGGCAGTAGCAGCAGCGGGAGCAGAAGGAGGAGGAGTAGGAGTAGCAGGAGTAGGAGTAGAAGGGGGGTGGGGGTGGGAGGGGTAGTGGTGGTCATTGTGGTAGTACTAGGCCGCGGCGTAGTAGTAATGGTGGTAGGTGGTAGTGGTAGTAGTAGTAGTAGTAGTAGTAGTAGTAGTAGTAGTTAGTAGTAGTAGTGGTAGTAGTAGTAGTAGTAGTAGTAGTAGTAGAGTAGTCGTAGTCGCAGTTGTAGTTGTGGTCGTCCTCATGCTGCTGGTGTTGGCAGCCGTAGTAGGAACAGGCAGACCGCAAAGTGGAAAGGATCAGACGATCAGCGAGCAATTTGCAGAGAGAGAGGGAGAGAGAGAGTCAGAGACTGTCGTCGTGCTGTCAGCCTGCGGCTGGCCCCGCTGCTGCTGGGGATTCTTGCCGCCGAGCTTTGGCGCTGGTTGTGGAGGCGCTGGGCGCGAAGGTGGGAGCTCGGTTTCAAGCCGTCGGCTTAAGGTGTGGATGACCGTGTGGGTTTAAGACTGGCTGTGAGTCGAAGTGTTGCCTAGTAAGAAATGTGGCATGGCGGGGGTGTATTGTAACACGAGGTCATACGAAGCCTGAAAAGGTACGCAGCGTTGAAGCACCAAATATGAAGCCTAGTTATCTTCAAACAAAGCCGAAGCACCACATGTGAAGACGGTCGAGACTCCCAAACTCCTGATGCATGGGAGCACATCCGTAAATCCCCGATGCATCCCCTGAAAACTCTGAAGAGATCAGCAAAGAAAACCCAAAACGGGGTTGCACATGTGCAAGTGCGTCTTCCTTGAAGTGACATGGTCGGCTTTTGGCGAAGCACCCGAATGAATTTTCACATTCCATCATTGAATGAGGCGAGGGGCTGCGCAAATCATTGGGTTGCAGCTCTGGGCCGTTGCACCCGGAACTCGTGGCTATTTTCCAAAGAATACCGGAGACGAAGGCTTGGGTTCACCACCAAAGCAGCACAAGGTTGCTGAATGATGATACCATCAAGCATAACAGCTTCCGGCAATGATGAAGTGCCGATGCCACCGGCAGCAATACGGCTATGACTAATGACTTGTCATACTTGATAGCATGACAAGAAGGAGCAACAGCAAACACCCAAAAAGTCAATATTCTATGTGTTATCCAGCTCCTGCTGCTGCTGCTGCTCTGCTGCTGCTGCTGCTGCTGCTGCTGCTGCTGCGCATGATGCTGTCAGTGAGCTGTCGTCCACAACAGCACAACCAGAGTGTTTCCCACTGTGCCCATCATCGATTCCATCTTTCATTGTCTTCCTCACGCGCACCTCGTTTTGCTCCTCCCTTCACGACCCATTTACTATCATGGGTTGTGGTGTTCTCGGAGGTCGCTCAGCAGGCCTTTGGCGATCAAGGAAACCAAGGGGGTCCACCGACGGCCAGGCAGGGTTCCTGTACCATCGGGAAGTAGTCGTAGTCACTAGTCAGGATCGTCGTCGGAGTATCTCCGGACCCGAACGAAAGGAATTAGTCCGGAAGGAGTCTGGTGCATGCCATGACCGGACATCTCTCTGCATCACAGAAAGGCGTAGACGATGACCTCCGCTTCCAGCAGATCGAGGATGACCCGCGTGATCTGCCGGGTGCTGCGATTGGCAAGGCAGAGGATAAGCGTGATGGTACTCGTGGCGCTATTTCGGATTCTTTGGTTGCTATTGAATTGTTATTCTGCATGGAGCTCGTTATGTTTGACTCGCCTGCTGCATCATGTGGGTGTTTGACAGAGTGCCGTTGAAAGGCTCAGCTTGGCGCGAGGGGCATCCCAGTTTCTGGGGGCATGAACACCGCGTCTTGACTTCATCGTATCCCCAAGACCATTTGCGACATCAGCGGCATGCTTGCTCTATGAAGTAAGGTCTCTCTGGATCCGGCATCGACGTTTGTTGAGCTCCTCGTTTGCAGATTTGCAAGAAGAGCGGACCTGAACCAGATCGAAATAGCGGCTTCAACAATGCACCAGCAGCAAACTAGAACTGTATTGAACCCGGTCACACTAGTCACCAGCGAGTGCTTCCCGGCAGTCTTGATGACAATGACCTGAGAACATAATGGACATTCCTCCCAGTGGCAGGTGGTGGTGGTGGTGGTGGTCGTCGTCGTCGGAGTGTAGCAGCAGCAGCAGCAGCAGCTCTAGAATTGTGAGTCAAGATAGGCCAGTAGCCATTGCAGCTCCGACATTACATGAACAGTATGGTCGACAAAGTATTCTCAGTTTGACTTAATGTGTGCCACACAATATGGCAGTACTAATTGATGAAATCGCAGCTTCAGCTGTGCATGAAGCTATCAGGGCACATGTGTTGTTCCGGACAGAGGCTTCGGGGATGGGGAAAGGTTTTCCAAAGAGCTCTGGGAAGGGGAAGGGGTCTTTAAGAAAGGAGAAAGGGTCTGAGAAGGAGGCTCGGGGACGGAGAAAGAGTTGGGAAGGCAGGCCCGGAAGGGGCAGAGTTCCGGAAAGAGACTCGAAGGCACAGAAAATGTCTGGGTAGAGGGTGGGCTGGGGTCGCATTTTCCCAAAATGAAATCAGATTTTCCCATATCATCATATCATCCCTATTTTTTTCCCATATTTCTGGCTTCCCAGGCCCTGTTAGAAAATTGTGGAAACGAAATGGAACACTATGGAAAGCTGTGAAAACCATATGGAAACATACAACATCATTGGAAACGATGGAAAACAAATACATTTCCAGAGACCTAGTATTTTTCCATATTTTCCCATATTTTCCAGTGATTGTTATATGGTTTTCCACTGGGAAGCTAGATATATGGAACACATATTGGAGAAAATCTGGGAAAACTGTGAACAATGCGAATGACAGCGGAGGCCGGGTTTCGAAAGCCCTACAGAAGCTCGTTGGAGGCCTTTCAAGTCCCGTGACAGCCCTCCACGTTGCTGCTATCAGAGGTTCAATCATTTTGTCTGAACCCCTTCCTCCGGGTCCGAACACCCTCCAGAGGGTCGTCAGAGGCTTGCGAGTCCGGTTAAAGGCCCTCGAGCTTGCAGCTAACACCTATCAGATGGCTGGAAACAATGCCCCCTGAGAAGATGAGCTGGATGTAAAAGGTTCCGAGGAAGGGTCAGCTCTCTACGCCGAGCCGTACCTACAGCATATTGAAATTAATGTTGAAGCTATGGTAAATTCAATCTGTGTTGTTTTGATATGACCAAACCACGATTTTGCAGCGAGGCTGGGATCCCGACGTTGTCGTTGTCGTCGTCGTCGTCGTTGTTGTTGTTTCTGTTGCTGTCGCTGTTGCTGTTGCTGTCGCTGTTGCTCTAGCCTTGCTGCGGCGCCGCCGCCGCCGCTGCTGCTCTCGCTCTTGCTCTTGCTCTTGCTCTTGCTCTTGCTCTTGCTCTTGCTCTTGCTCTTGCTCTTGCTCTTGCTCTTGCTCTTGCTCTTGCTCTTGCTCTTGCTGCCGCTGCTGCTGCCGCTGCTGCTGCTGCTGGTCTTGTTGCTGTCCTGGTTGTCGTTGTTCTCGTCGTTCTTGCCGTTGCCCTTGTCATGTTGCGTCGTGGGCTTCGTCCTCTTTCGTTTCTGCTGGCATATAATGCAGCATGTGCGGCAGGGCGCCGCCGTTAGCCATCGCGATCGTCATGGTCATGCTCGTTTACACTGCCCAGAGTCCAGATCATAACAGTGAACCTGGCATTCGAGATCATAGAAGCATGAGCTGTAGTAGGGGCGGCGCCACACGCCATACATCCGAGGCCCGGTTTGCGGTGCATCTGCAGCGTGGAAAGCGACGTGTATTCGGGTACAATTTGCCCTGAAGATCTCGTTGTGGCCCCGGACTTCTTCGAGACTGCAACGGATATGCAGATGTACGACGCCCGTCGGCATGCCTTGCAAACGAAGGCAAAGGCCTTGTCCGGATATTCCCTAAGCCCTAAGCTCTTGTGCGAGGGAAGAAGGAGCCTAAACAAAACAGAACTCTCCATCACTTCGAGGACAAGCTCTTGGTTGAGATGCAAGAGACGACTGCGGAGAAGAGCGAGTCGGAGCAAGTGATGGCTCGTATTCGAGAGCGCCTTCTCTGATCAAAGCTCTCCCAACCTGATAGCCATCAGAAGTCAAGCAGTAGGGCGCATTGGGAGTCCAAGCCGAGTGTCTGTGACGGGGTGCATTCGCGGAAGGGGGGCCTGCCATCCTTTGGATTCTTAAACCCAAGGAAGGAAGAAAGACAAGAAGATAGGGGGGGATTGACGGGAAGGAAGGAAGGAAGGAAGGAA